TCAAGGAAATTCACTTTTATGTCTCCATGTAATATACAAGCTCATTAAATGCATGGTAATCAGTTTGGTGTGGAGAGTAGCTTTCTGGGGTATGTGCCTCAAATAAATGTGCAGATTAAAAAGAGATGGAATATCAAGTGATGCATAGAAAAAAAAGGCAATTTCTCAAAATGACTTAAGCAAAACTCTAGGATAAAAGTGTTTTACATCCTCACAAGTATCTATCATTTTATCATGACAATTTTTATTTAGTTGTATGAGAGAACCAGAAATTTTGTTGCACATAAACTTAAAGTGATATAATTAACTTATATGAGTGTTGATGTTCTATTATTAATAAAATTTACCTTCTTTTAAAATCACAAGCTTATTTATGCCTAACATTATTTTGATATTAATTCACTTATAAGTAAATTCAATATTGTTTCATTGCAAAATCAAAATTATTAATCAAAACTGGCATAACATTTAGAAGTCCAGAAAGACAACCATTTATGCCTTTGTTTTAATTTGCACTAACATCAATCATATTACTGGACCTTTACCCAAATACAGACAACAGTATTCACAGTACTCGAATTAAAATTAAATAATAATAAAAAAAGCAAGGTTTTTAAAAAGCGAGCTTGTTGAGGGGGTGAAAGAAATGCAATTAATGTCAAGATGATTGGACTAAATTTCTCTGAATCAATATATAGTGAACTTTGTCACCATTATGCATTTAAAAACTAAAGATAGATGTACTGCATGAGTCAGATGCACCACGTGAATGCTAATTGATCTAAATCACCCTGTTATTATAATGTTGTATTGACATTTCCACACTTGTAAGAAGCTGTCAAGACACAGAACCAAATCTATTCAGGAAAACAAAATGCAATTTTTAATTTTAAAAATAGGAATATTATGTTAATTTAAAAAATGCTTTGAGAAAATTCAGTGATTTGGGAGGCTCCAGTATACAGAAGTACTGGAAATAAGGGGTCGACACAGTCATACAACATACACTGTTAGCATTTCGGCTAATAGGCAGTTAAGTAACAGGCAAGGTTCAGTTAAACAGCTTCCATAAGATAAATAAATCTTTGGATAAACTTGTATTTAGGAAAATAGCAAGTCTTGATAAATAAATGGCTGATTTTTATATTGCTCCTATATCGATTAAATGGAATATTGTCAATTCTAGCCTCAAGAAAGGAATGCCAGTGTGATCCGTATGAAAAAGTGAGTCCCCAATAGAAACCTGAGAAAGTGTAACCAGGCTAAAGAGCCAGCCACTCTACAGGAGCTTGAAGAACTTTACTGCATAAACCCCAATTATTTTTAACATTAAAGGAAGGTGCATCACCTGTGTTTCATTACCACCATTCTGTTGCTACAGAATTAAATTGGAAGCCTTTAGTACTATGAACTTTAGAATGTGAACAGCAGTGTTTCCAAAGCTCTTTCAGAATTCCTATTACAGCAGGTTAAATAAACATTTCCACTATATTTAAATCCCAATTTGATTTCTGCATGTAAAAATTCTGACTATTTCAGCAGACTGTGCTAGCATACCTATTGCAGTTCTAATTAGCCATAATTGTAATATTATGGGGATATGACTTTTAACAGCATGTAAAGATGAAAAGCAAATCTAATGTTTTTTTAAAGTATAAGTAAACAACAGTTTCCTCCCCCGCCCTCTCCTCCCAAACAGTTACATGGTAGCACATATCACACAGGACAGTTAATTAATTTGAATGGAAATCTAGGACCTAGCAGTATCTGCTAACTAGCAGAAGAGTATGCATGTCTCTGCAGCAGTATGTGGATAGTTTATTTTATAGTGCCAAATCTACGTGACAATTGTAAAACCTTCCTAAGTTAGAAACATGCAAGCAACACTATTGTTCTGTTTTCTCTGTTCAGTGTTCGGAATACCCGTTAGTGTTACTTTTCTTTAGAGATAATGCAGTATAAATATCAACTGTATTTATAAAAATGGTAATTTGATTCAAAAGCAGCCAGTCTTGAATTCTGCAAGTTAAACATATATAAACATTCTTGAGGAAATCATCATATGTCCCATATTTTTATAACAGAACAATATATCGGGCTATAGACAATATAACAAAATGCTGACATGCCCCATCTAAAGATATTTCAACTTAGTTATATATTTATTTATACAGAGATTGCTTCAGAGTGATGAATATCCACTTCTATGTAAACATCTATATAAGTTGCGATCAAAAATTCAAAAAATTAATGCTTAAAGTAAATATTTTTAAAACATTGCTATTAATTATAAACTTTGGGAAGTTTTGCTTTAGAAATTAATCTATTTAACTTCCATATTAAAATTTGTATTTAGCAAGTTGTCATGTATAGTCAAGAAGCATTCTAAATATAGTCTAAATATATTCCTCTGAAAGAACTTTGCTTAGTCCACATTAAGACCAAATGAATTGAATAACCTTTCATATTAATTTTTCATTTTGAAAGACTTCGAAATACTTTGTAATGTAGCAATCTATACCAATCAGGTAGAGTGCTTTATAACTCCATCTGCTGATATTTTATAATTCTTAAATAAAACATATTGTTTAATCCTCAGATAATATGATGAACAATTAACGTAATCCTGCAATTTTATTTAAAAATGTACTAACTCTTGAAACCCAATTTTGTTAGAATGAATTCTTAAATGGTTGGATGCTGGGAAAATGTTAATGCTTAGGACACTGATGTATTGTCATGTTGTTAAATCTTGTGATTTACTCCACTGCTGACTTATGTGTAATGAAAATGTTTTACATTCATAAGTTTAAATTTTCAAACTTGATATGTGTTCATTAGCACAGTTAAACTGAAGAAAACTGAAATATAAACTTTACAGAAGAGTACTTGCAAAATATTCTACCACCCAGGCTCATTCACTACCATCAATGTAGAGAAATACAAAGCTTTAGAGAATAAGTCCAAAGCGAAATTTAAAATAAAATTAAAATGCAATTATGACTACCAAAATGCAGGGGGGGGAGGGAATAAAATCCTACTGTCTGCCATACAACCCTAAATACCAATCATATTATGAAATACCAGAATAAAGGCAAAAAGGCAAGAAATTAAAAATATCAAGGAATAAACCAACAACAGTCAAGCAGTAAAAAACACAAAACAAGATTTGCTGGTGAATTGGAAAGGATGCTGATACAAAGGTAAAATGAATATAGAGATAGCTTCCAATAACCTACAGCATAACCAACAGAATAAAATCTTACTACTTTAGAGGCAAAACAAAGGAAAATACATTATTTCAGAGGTGGTCCTATCAGTATCAAAATTAAGAAGAGAAGAATGACTAAGGATCTATACTGACTCTGTGGTCTTAATAGCTTTGGGAATCAAAAAGTGTTCTGAATTTTGCAGTCAAACATTAGGCAGTGTATCTTCAGTAGATAAACTTTTAAAATCATATGGATGTGTGCAGAAGTTCACACTTGTGGTCAAAGATAAATAAGAGCATATTAAATAAAACTACATATTGGGTGGTGCTCAATTAAAAATTAAACCATTTGAACAATATTAGATCGTTTCCAAAACATGGAATATGTTTTGATTAGATCCTGGTCAGCAGTTCAAAAAGATAAGATTATTGTGTTTTCTGAATACAACACTATTTGCATAGAAAACATGATGACACAAACTATATAAAGAAGTGTTTACAGTAAGTATAAAATATAAAGTAGGACTACAATGAATGCAGTGTCTCAAAGGTTAGATTAAAATAACTGTACACCAAAATACTACATCCAGTTAATATAAAGGCCTTGAGAAGCACTAAGACACCAAATACTTTTGTGCTTAGGAGCTATATTTTTAATTGAATGAAACTCAATTCTTGCAATACTGGGAACCACAATATTGAAAGCATCAATTCCTTATACACTAAGCAATCTAACATACCTTTAACAATAAGATATTGCTGCAATTTTAATTTTAGCACAAGCTGTTTTGTTTGAATACCCAATGTACTGCCTGTTGCATAATTTCTGAAGGATATAAATACTTTCATAATGTGCACTATAACAATATGAGTAGTTCATTACCACACAACATTCATAAAGTGCTACTTTGGATTAAAGTCCTATTTGAAAAGAGTTGGCATTCACATACTGGAAATTACTGGATTTTAATACCAGGCTTTGAGGATCATATTTAAATGCTGCAGAACTGCAATAGTGATGTCTTTCAACTTCTCTCAATTTTTTATTCATCAACCACTCTAAAACAAGTTCCCAATAAGAAACTTTTATTAAAAGATGCACCTATTCTAATTTAACAGTGCAACTTTATATTAAAGTCTAATAATCAATTCTGCATTCTCATTATTTGTCAGAATGATGTAGACAAACCAATTTCTCAAGTTTTTGCATTACTTCACTAGGTTATTACCCAGCTGTGCAGCTGAGCAAAAAGATAACCACATTCATTCCCCTTATCTGTAATGATGTAATACATCCCAGCACTGGGTAGAGATGATTGGGGAATAATGGGATTGCAAAAACAGCAGAGATGATAAACAATGGTGCAGTTTT